GAGGACAGAATAAGGGCGGATATGTATAAAGTTATTATTGTCTGTAAGCACGTTTTCGAGACTATCAGAAGCTCATATGTAAAAGCTGTATCAAACCTAGTTTATTTTAAGTTAATGAAGGACAGATATGAAAGTGCATGAAGAAGAGATTCGTTGGTCGATCTGACCAGATGAGGACGGATGAAACTCGTTGTACTGCAGCCGTTTGGCTTTTATACGATATTCATTTTGACGCAGTCCAAAAGACTTTCTCCCTCGTTTCGGGTGAAAACCTGCTGAGCTTTCGTCCACCATATGATGGACATCATCAGAGCTGAGTGTCATTCTTTTAAAAGTTTCACATTAACACTAAAGCAAGAATACTATCCGGCTATTTCTTATTTCTTATATAGGTCAAAATGAGGGACCACCTCCAGTTCAATACTATTCCTTACCTCTTCAGGCAATCTATCAGATAAGTTAATTAATTCAACTAATATTTTCAGAGTATGGTTTACCTCATTTGGAAGAGCAAAATTCAGTCCTTTTTCCAATGAAAGTACTACACTATCCTCTAGATTTGTACTAGATAAATTGATTACCTTATCCTTCTCCACTTTGTTATGAACATTATTATAAAGATTTTTCCTAGGGGCAAAGTCTCTCGACTTTATTCTAATTCCTAAATTCCGAAGCCTCTTATCAAGAATGACACTCAGCTCTGATGACGTGCATCATTTGATGGACGAATGCTCAGCACGTTTTCACCCGAAACGAGGGAGGAAGTCTCGTGGACTGCGTCAACATGAATATCGCATAAGATCCAAACGCCTGCAGTACCACGAGATTCATCCGTCCTCATCTGGTGAGATCGACCAACGAATCTCTTCTTCATCCAGTCTCATTCGAAATGAAAGTCCCTCTAACAATGTTATCTCAGCAGATTCATCGAAACCAAGTTTCTCTTCGTGTCTATGAAGGACAGGTAGTTAAATTTTTCCACAATTATTCGAGTAGGCCTCATGTTTTCATTGAATTTCACATTGCCTTGTTTTCTAAAAGTTGCCTACTTTCTGGCTGGACTGGAATGCAGTTTTGACCTCGGCCAGGTCTCATCATCAGCCCCAATGAAACCCGAATCCAGTTACTGCAGTGTGATTAGCGTGTTGATACCATACGCTGCACCACCACAACCTGAGTTCGAGTCCAGCCGGGGCAGCTGCTGAGTCTCAGACGCGGCGAGGTCGAAACTGCAGTCCACCCCAGTCTGGATGAGAATACCTTTTAGAAAGCAAGAGTAAGCGAAATCCAATGGAAGCAAGAGGCCTACGCATAGGATCTTGGAAAAATTTAACTACCAGTCCTCCATCATATGAAACGAAATAGAGTGAATACATCTTTTATGCTAAAGCTAGACTTCAATACGTCGTGTTGGCCCGACCGGAAGGCCAGAAGCCTCCGATTCGATGTTCATTGTCGAGTAAATTAGGGTGTTCAATTGTACCGAAAAGCTGTAGCCTGGGGCAGACTTAAGCACTTTAGCTGACAGCATCCTCAACGGGGCCGGTGACGGCGGAATTATCCCCAGCTTACAAACCCAAAAGTTCCTCAACTGTGAGGTCGTGAATAAGAAGTGTTGAAACGCGAGAAGCCTTGTTGATTTGCTCATTGACCCAAAGCGATAACGATGTT